AAAAAAAAAAAAAAAAAAAAAGAAAGAAAGAAAAAGGATTGTCACTATGAGCAATTGGAACCCAACCCTAGTGGACCCCACCCCCTAGACCCTCTGAACACACCTCAGAATTGACCCTTAAGGGGCAAGGAAGCTAGGTATTTATTCAGCAATTCCCGTTCCTCCCTGGCTGAAAGTTGCAGAAATTTTCATACTTCAGACACTTCAGGCCTGCCATGCACATCACTCTGCCTCCTCCAGAGAGTTCCCTGAGGGAAAAAAAAAAACCTTGGCTCTATCTTTCTCTGCTGGGACTTCATTCAGGTGTCACCTCCAGGAAGCCTTCCTTGACTCCAGGATTGGGTTAGAAGCCTCTTTCCTGCTCCTACAGCCCCAGTGCTTTCCTCCGTCCCTGCCCAAGTATCTGTCCTTCCATGACATCGTGGTTCTCCCGGGAGGTAACCGCCCGGCCTGACTCATCTGTATGGACCTAACACCTCTCAGTGCAAGGCTGGGCTAGGAAAAGCCTCATGACTGATTCATGAACTTAACAGGGGAATAATGACTGCTTCGCTTTGACCTGAGGATTTGAGGGTGAAAGTGGGGTCATCCATGCCTAGGTAAACCTGCAGGTGGTCAGAGCATGGCTGAATACTAACCAGAGGAGAGGTGTGCCCTAGTGTCCCCATCCAAAGGGTGGGCACACATCGGCACTTCTGGCTGGCGCCCTGACTGTGTGGGCCTTTCCAGGGGGGGAAAACATCTGGGCCACCGCGAGGCCTCTGAGTCCACCCACAGCTCAGCGAGTCAATCCTGCACAGGACGGTTCACTGTTCAACACCAGGCACGCTCCTGCCCATGATCCGGGGCTGACTGAAGGCTGGAAACCCGGGTCGATTGAAACGTTTGGACCTTCTTAGAGGTTCTCTCTCATGTGCTCCCTCATAGAGGAAATAAAAGAATTTAAAATCTGGGAACCAAACAAAGATGGAGGGGGCAGATTAAGCGCTCTTTCAAGGATGTAGAGAGCTGAAGAAGACAGGACCGGGGGCAGGAAGGCCCAGTTTGAGGTGCTGTGCTGACTCCACTCTCTGCAATCCTGCGCGGTCACCGCCCTTTCCAGCCTCGGGTACATCTGACGTTTGAAGGGTGGCCACCCGCCAGGGCTGAGGCTGCAGGTCCCGCTCCGGCCACGGCCACGGGGCGGTCGCCTAGAGCCCGCCGGGGACAGTGCGGGCGCAAGGGGCGGGGCGTGCGGAGCCGAGGCTCTCCTGCGCAGTCAGAGACAAGCACCAGCGAAACGTGGAATGTGTGTTTATGTGGGTAGAAAAAAGTGCACAGAACAGTGAAGGAGCGGGGAGCAGGGACGTCCTGGCCTGGCCTCTGACTAGTCGGATTCGCAAGGACTCTCCTCCAGTCAGGGGGCTCCCTCCGGGGTGGGAAGAGAGCGAAGGACTCGCGCGGGATCTATCAGTGTACGATCCACTTTGGGGGCGTGAGGGTTTAGCATTGCCTGGGCCTTTTTGAACTTGACCTCCGAGAACGTGGAGTACCGAAGGGGCGGCTCTCTCCAGTGGGTGGAGCCTCACAGAGCGGGGAGGATTTGGGGGCCCCAAACTCAAACAGCCAGGCCTCGGGGTCGTGGTAGGGTGCGGTCTTCCGGGGCGCGGCGAGCCCCAAGGGCGGTCAGCCGAAGAGCTTCAGGAAGCAGGGCTGGCAGTACGGCTTGCCCGCGCGCTCCTGGAAGGAGCCCTTGGTGAGCGGGCGCAGGCAGAAGGTGCACGTGAAGTGGTCCGGGTGGAAGCGGCGGCCCAGGGCCGACACGCAGCGGCCGGTCACCGGGAGGCCACACGTGGCGCACAGCGAGCCTCGCTGCGCGTGGAAATGGTTCTCGCACAGCGGGCGGCCCTCGTGCTCGAAAAAGCTGCCTCCCGAGAAGGGCGCGAAGCATTCCTGGGGAAGGGAGGCCGCGGGAGAAGGCGTGAGCGGCCCAAGCCCAGACTCGATCGCTCGCGTTGGTAGCGGAGCAACGCACGGTGACCGGCGCAGCTGGGCACCCGGCGCGAAGCCTTGGCTCCAGGAGCCAGCCCGGAGTAGGCGCCCCGCCCCAGACCCCTCGTCCCGCCTCCCGCTGGCCCACTCCTGCAGCCCCCGCCCGCACGGCCGCGCACCCTGCAGACGAAGCAGTCGGGGTGCCAGAGCGCGCTCAGCGCCGAGATGTAGTTGTCCAGAATGGGGCCTTGGCAGCCCTGGCAGCGCGGCGCGAACAGCTGCAGGAAGTCCCGGCGGCAGTAGGGGCGACCCTCGCGCTCGTGGAAACCTACGGGCAAAACCGAGTGGGCCGAAAGCAAGGGGTGTGGGAGAGACTGGGGACCGACGAGACCTGAGCCCGGGGCCGGGGCAGGGTAGTCAGCGTGGGCAGAGCGGGAGGAGATGGGATAGGAACCACAGGTGGGTCGGAGGACGGTCGAAGAAAATTCAGGGTCCCAGGACTCCGGAGTTCTGGGGGGCAGGTGGGATGTCCAGCTGACCCTCTGCTTCTAAGGCGGGAGTTGACCTCTCACCCTCATCTCCGAAGGGCTCCCCGCAACTGACGCAGCAGAAATGCTCCGGGTGCCAGTGGGTGCCCAAGGCTGTAACCATCTTCTGCAGGGAATGAAAGGGGACACTCAGGGTGGCTCTCTCCCCGCCCTCTCCGCGGGGAACCTGGGTGACTGGGCTGAAGGATGAATCTGGGAGCAGAAGATCTAACAAGGAACTTGGGCGTCAAAGAGGGAGAGTAAATCCAAGGGGTTGCAACCGTTGCCAAGGCGTAGGGCTGGGGTGGGGGCGAGTGGTGACCAGATGAGGCCCACCCTCAGGTGCTCTGGGTGAGACAGGGGTGGGGCCTGGGGGAGCAGGCGTGGCTCACATGTCGGATGGGTTGGTTGCAGAAGCCACATCTTGGGGAGAAGCGCTCGAAGTAGCACTCGGGGCAGAAAGGGGCTCCATCCTTCTGGAAGAAGCTGCTGCCTCCCAGGGCTGTGGAACAGCCTCCGCAAACGAAGTGCTCAGGGTGCCAGGCGCGCCCCAGAGCTGTCACCACCTGCAAATTGGGGGGTAGGGGTTGAGGCCTGGGTCCGAGTGGCCTTCTGACAGCCACATGCACAGCAAGCTATGTGGAACTTTTCTTATGGGTCTTATTTCTGGGTGCTCGGGATGAAAACTCATGTGGATTGCACAGCCTCTGAGTGATGGTGATTCAGCCCAGCTCTTCCAGCTCTGGTCAGAGTTGACTCTCCATAAGGCACAGCAGGCATGGT